GCGAGAACAAATCTGACACACCTGAACGGGCACGGACTCTCCCCTCACCGGGCAACTTCCAGGCCCTTCCCGAATTTACCAGACGATGGCGCACTGGTCCCAACGTTGATAAATAGAGTTGTGGACTGAGGAGAGCTTTTTATGGGAAGGGAATGTATTTTGTCACATATTTTAGAAATGTCTTATTAGTGTAAAAAAAAAAAAGCCGTATCTTTTTCCTAAGGGTAACAGAGGGGATTTACTTTATCATGGATGCAATAAGGAAAAGCACAAACCTAGATTACCTAATCAGTTATTGGGAGGGAGTTTAGATACTTCTTGAAGGCATATACAGGTAAACATCATGGAATACACGCTCAAATGCTTCCCTCTATTTCCAAATATGTAATAAAAACATTGTATGAGGGGAAATTAGTTGTGGTGACAGGTATCTGAAATGCAAGTAGAACAAATTATATTAATTAATGTAAACAACATAAGTTATCATGCAAGCCCTTTGTTTCTGTGAAAATAAGTATTGCTTCTTTGGGGTGCTGAATTCATATTTCCAAGAAAACACACATTTCCATCCGAAACATCCTTGACTGTGCTTTTTTTAAAAGAATTGGATGACGTTTTCCATCAAAAATATACACTGAGGGAAAAAATTTTGTTTTAAAGTAGGCAGGTACAATTGTAAATGTGGAATATTGTTGTGTTTACATGCTGCAATTGCTAATACAATGTTGTCTTTTGATCTAGTTGAACAGGCTTCAGAGAGAGAAAATAGAAATGACAGAGGCTGATGAACTCAGAACCACAACTTCCTTCCAGTAAAGTCTTCTTTCATTTCTTCAAGCTATTAAGCAATTCTGTGTTTTCTAAGCTTTTGTAGAAGACACACACCTTAAACTGGAAATAGAAATTGCCCAACCAGTTACACACTGGTTTCTTTCTACTTAGATACTTGCTTTAAATAGAACCTAGATGGAACAAATGAAGAGGGTTCTCAGGTAGCCTGGCTGCCTCGACTTGCCACAGAGCGAAGTTCAAGTCATATAATAGAAAATTCAAAGGAAAGTGACTCTCTGCTTATCAAAAGCTAAAGGTCCAAGGGCAGTAAGCTGTAAATGAGGATATGTTTTAGATACACTCACTCATGGATATCTATGCATTACATTAGGTCCATTAACTGCCTTTGTAAAGCAGTAATGTCCTTCCACATTAAGAATGATCTTCTTCCACGCTCAGATTTACTACATTTGAGGCTGCTCTGGAGGGAGGATCAAGGGAAGAGGTTGTCCCTAATTGTAGCTGTCAGAGCTAGAAAGAAGCAGCTCACAGAGTAGGAGTAACAACAGAATTAAATCCTGCTAATAGGCCCAGCACGTGCTATGGCAAAGTAGGGTTTGCAGGGTTGTTTGCTTGGATTTTTTTCTTTTTTTTTTTTTTAGGAGTTCGTGCTTTGTTGATGATATAAGATGTGTTTGTGTACAAAAGAGGAAGGAGGGAAGAAAACAGATAAAGCCAGATCCTGTGGGTACTGCAGATAGCAACTGGAAAACATTGGACTCCATTATGTTACCATGCAACCAACTGTGGAGCACACTACTGTTTCTGCATCAAACTGTGGGGGTCAGAAATGAAGCCAATACCAATTTCCTTTATAGGCTGTAGCATTAACTGATCTGTTGTGCAGTTCAACTAGAATTTTCTCTTAAACAAGGTATGTTTTACTGGTCTAGCCTACACCATGCTAATGTGCTGATCATGTCCCAATGCTAAGGACAAAAAAAAAAAAGATTGGAGTATTGCCCCCATCTCCCCTTCTTTGTTGGGTGGCCATACTTCCTTTTATTTGTTTAGTGAAGAAGAAAAAAGTCCAATAGGTAAAGAAGTTCTCTTAGCTTTTGCTTTTCAAAACTGATTACACATTGCTTCAACAAATGCTCATCTGTAGCTACAATAACACCTCTGTGCTGTAGTGTTTCTTATTGAGGAATGCATGTCACACCTGTGGCACTGCCAACCAGAAAACTGTTAGGATTCCTAAAAACAGATAGGAAGGTCAAACACTTCAGCTCTTTATTGGGTGGATCCATCTATGACTTTGGTGGTGACTTTTTTTTACCACTGAGGGTTTACACCTCTTCCCTTGACACCTATCAAGAAGTGATACACTCAACAGTGTGTCCTCAAACACAAACTTACATGTAACACCCTGTTTTGCATTGTGCAAAAGCTTCCTCTTTGAGGTAACACACATAAAGGAGCTTGAGATGCCCAATTCTTAAATGCTTTTATTTTTCTTAAGAAGAGAGAGAATTGTCAAGAAACACATACTTGTTGTGTACAGATACACAACCACTACAACTTTTACCGTATTAATTCCATGCCTCCCTGAAATCAGTATAAAAACATTCTCATAACTTCAAAATAATGTTTTTTTAAATTTACTTTGTACAGCGTGCTATTGTAACACTGAAATTATGGCTAAGAGTTTGGCAATGAGGCAAAGACCAGAAGTGCAAGTCATTGTGACTAGGATTGTGCTGTGGATTTCTGTTTTTGGGAGCCAGGTGGATGCTGCACTTCTGAAGCAAATTCATTTTTCTGACTGTCGCGTGTTTCATTCAAAGCCTTTCACAAGAGGACAAATAAACACAGTAATGGCAGCACAATGTAAACATCTTATTTAATAATGCTAACAGTCATTAAAAAAGATATTCAGGCTTCACTGAATTATAAAGGAAATTACAGCAGAAAGGAGAGCTGCATCATTAAATGAAATGTTCTTAACAGCTTTAATAGAAAAACACCTTTCCCTTTGTTTTATTGTAGTGATCAGTGATTTATTACCAGTAGATGACTTTGCTTTTCTTTGTCAAACTGATAAGACTTTTCTGTTACTACCAGGGATTACAATTAATCGGGATTTTCTGCATTTACTTCCTTATTTGTGGAGCAGCAACAGCATCAAGTAAAGAATGGTGTTTATTAGTTACCTGCCTACTGGAAATATATTTAATTCAATTAAAAAGTGACACACGAGAAAATCAAGAATGTGAAAGTTTTGCTAAGGTTGAAAGCTTAAACACATTTGTTTTCATGTAAGAAGTTTTTCAAACTTGTGTGGCTTTCTGATTAACTCAGCTAATACAGCACTTTGCAATTAAAAATTCACATATTGTACAATACTGAAATAGGAAGAGAGAGAGCTTTACACAAACATTGTGCTGTTAATAACCTGTCTAACAACCTAGCTGGTAGATAAGCAGTACTTTCACCAAAGTAGTACTTTCTGGAGATGAAACACAGTTCCCTGCACAAGGCCCTCAAGCCCACAGTCCCTACCAGTCCACCTCTCGTGTATCAGAACAGATTGGTGTCATGCCAAATACCATACAAATGAGTAAAATGATAGAAAGTGGTTTGAAAACCAAAGAGTTCTAGAGAACAACTGTAACCATGAAGTGGGATGCAGGCAGCTCTGCCTTGTGACTGCATGATTCAATGTGTGTTCCCTCAGGCAATGCTGACGGGTTTGCTACAGAGCTCTGGTCCCCACAGTCTATTTTTGGTGCTGTCTCCTAATGACTTGTCCTCCAGAGCCTGTAGCTCCTCACTTCACCATGACCTGGTAACAGCAATGTCTGTGCAGCATTCCCACTCACATCAGTGGGGAATTCTGCTTTAAAAATCAATTGCTGTGATAAAAGTCCCAAGTTCAAGACCTATCAGCTCCTGCTCCTGCTTCAGCAACACCTGGGGTCAGGGAAGTCAGCAAGTCTGGCTGAGTGAGGGCGAAGGGAGTTTGAACTTAAAAGAAATGGTTTGTAATTACTCAAAAAATACATGAATGGAAAACAGTGTTTCACAGCTATTGCCTGGACTGGCACTATCACAGTCTGCAAGGCTACAGGAATCACAATGATTTATAGTGCTTAGGGTTAAGACCTCCCTGACCACTTCAGTTTTGGAGTCACAGAACATGAACAAGTTCTTTTGGCATTTCCTTGCTAGGAAGCAACCAGGTGAACTGAATTTCACTAACAGAACAGCCCTTACTCAAAACAAAAGATATTTTGATAGAAGTGGGTAAGGAAGTGTCTCCTATAATATTATTAGCAGATATGGCCTTTATTTTTTCTGCAGGAGCATAATTAAGAGAGAGCTTTCAGTGGAATGGACCCTCCCTACCTAATATAATGTTAATATGTTAAAAAATCAAAAGAAAAACTGCAAATGTTTTTATGTGAGTCTTTAGGCATGCTTATGTCTATGACCCAAATTTCTGCTTCATTTTTTTAAAAATGAAAAGACAGTTTTAAAGTATTTCTGTTATTTATGCACATACTGAAAATATACAGACTTGTTGAAAGGTTTTCAGTCTATGCATCCTTACTGTTACTAGTAAGGATCCTCTTTTTTTACCTCCAATGGTGCATTTACTACAATCACATAAATAAAGCAAAGTAGAGAGGGGGGAGGGAGAAGGAAGACAAACATTACAAGTAGGGCCTTTTCTACTTAATTTCTGAGTTCAAACCACCAGACTAACTACATTCTAATCTACTCATTTGACATGTGTACCTTTCAGGAACAAAATGCAAGTGCACCATCAAATTGTAGAAATAGTAGAAATAAATTAGGCCAAGAAAAATATTAAATTTTTTGGATATGTTTGTTTTTATGGTGAGATAGAAAAAGATTTGGCAAGAATAAAATATGTGCCAGTAAGTAAAAGAAGAAAGAAGTAGAAAATAAGGAGGAGGGTGTGAGAGACAGCAAGCAAGTAATACCAGAGTCTAATAATATTCTAGATCAAATGTTTCAAGTTGAAGAGAGTGATTTTTCTACTGCTTGGCAGCTGGTAAAACTGGAAGCACATTTATCTGAATTTTCACAGACATTCACATTTGTAAACCTTATGGAAACAAGGTCACAAAAGTGACTTGCTTTACACCTTAAAAATGTTGCATCATGAAGCCCAAGTTATTTATACAGAACACCTTTTAGGGAATGTCATATATGGTCAAATCCAGGCCAAGAGCCAGGACAGGGTTCACCTGCAAACCCAGCACCAAGGCAGTGCTGTGGGGGGGGCCCAGCCGGGCCCCTGATGCACTGGGGCTAAACCTTGGAAGACTTGAAATGAAAACCAAACCCAAACCAAACCCTTTATCGGGCTCCCATTGCTAGTAGATGAGGGTATATTTAAATTAATTTTCTAACCTTGTTGGCTAGTACATGGCCTGTATCCTGAAGCCAGACTATCTCTTGAGCTCTCACTTGCTAACGCAGCTCCCAACAAGGGCTCTGCCACCCCCCATTACAGCTCTCTCACACCGCCCTCATCCCCCCACAGGCCCAGTGGGTAGCACTGTGGGGCAGCTTTTCACTCGGAAGGGTGAAATTTGTTGTAGGCCTGGGCTCCCTGTGCTGTGTAAGGGGCCCTCACACGTCCTGGGTGAGCCCTGAGGAAGGGCAGTACCTCCCCAGTAACAGCGCTGGCAAAAACACACAAAACAAGAAGATTATCTAAAGGTAAAAGCTAATTAAACCAAACCCCCTTATTCATCAGGTCAAGGTACAGCATAAACAGGGTTGGTGCAGCCTCGGTGATCACACAGCCTGGGTGATCTTTGGTCAGGGTGAGGCTCGCAGGAGAAGGTGCACTCAGCTGAGGGCTCCGCAGGGTGCCATGAGTGCGATTGCTGTTTTAGGATGGAGAGAGCTTTTGGCAAACAAGCTGCCTGTTCACAGCAGTACCTGAAGGTCAACACTCACCTTGTCCCACAGCAGTGCCCGAGGCCAGGTCATTGCTAATGCTTTTATTTCCATTTCAGTGACACTTTCAGGCAATCTTGTTATGCGTGTGCTCCTGTATGGCAGGGATGTGCTTTACAGCAAAGACTTCACACAGCAAACTAAAGCTGTGCTGAGTAGTGTGGCCTTGTTTGTTTAATCTGAAAGCTTTTCTGGGAGGTGTCCCACACCAAATATTGGCCAAATCCAGTGAATCATTCCCATTTCTCTTGTTTGTTTTTCACAGCTAGTTCTGGGGACAGCCCCCTCTGCACTGAGACAAGTGACAACTGCAGGATGAACCATTTCCTTTAACAGTTGCATCAGCCCCCTCTGTAAGTTACTATTTTCTACAGAATGGCAATGAAGTAACCAGACAGTACAGTACTATACTAACAGCACCTTATGGTAAAGAAATATAGAGGCTAGGGGACATCAGAATGCGAAATGCTGACACCAGCGCTATCATAGGCAAACCTCCTCAAACTAAAAACTCCATACAGCTCTCTGGTAACCACAACACCACAAGATCTGCAGTTTTAAGTCCTTCAAGTACGACTGTAATAACAAAAATTAGTAACTCATTGCATGTACACTGCAGAAAGCAACCTTCTATTCTTCTCTTCCAGAGAGGTATTTACAAATAGACTACTTGGAAAAAATTAGAAAAATGTGACCATAGATTCAAATGGTGCATTTCTAATGGTGATTAGAACTATTAAAAACATTTCCAATGGTTTCTAATCTATATCTGAAACTCTAACAAGCCAATGAGCATTTTAATTAAACTTTGTAATTAATATGAAAGTTGGAGGTGATACAGTTCTTTGAAAAAGTACTAGAATTGGTGAGCAAAGATAGCCATTGTTTAAAAAAACAACCAAAAAACCCAACCCAAAACAAAGAACAGAATGGAGTAGGAGACAAAATGGAGAGAAGAAAAAAAGTTTTAAATTACTTCAGAAACCTCTAAATTGTCCATGGAATAAGAAGTCATGGATTTGCTTAACACAGGACAGGGAAGTCTTACTCTTCTGATAAACATCAGCTCATAACATTCAGCCAATTGAATCTTTACTGTTTGTAGAACAAGGAAGTAATTTGTATATTGTTGTATAGATTTATGTCGAGTAGTTGAGCTGGGGAGGTACAGCAATTTTTCTAGGTGTGCGCTACAAAAGTCCTCACCTATGCAAGAGACGGATTTTTAGGGACAGTCAGAGAAGACACAAAATCCCAAGAATTTTCATAACTCATAATCTTTTTGAAGTGCAGAAAAATATTTTGATTTCTCACATTATGTGACAAACCCTCCCAACAATCTATATTAATCTATATTAAAAAAACCCAAAAAATAGAGCAGCTAACAAGGCAAAACAGTTTATTACCAAAGCTGTTATGCTTCAGGACAGGATGAGAGAAACAACAACCCGTGACTGATAGCAGTCATACTGCTTAATATGTTACTGGAAACATCACTGAAAAGTTGTTAAATACAAAAATTACATAAAAATTACTTATATTTATTTCCTCAACACTGGCAGATACTTAGGTCATAGTATTTACAGACCATGCAACTGGTGTACTGAAGAACACACTCATTTAATTCATGCATCAACTCAGAGCACAGCACTTTGTTTTGTTTGGCACAGTCCAGTAAAAATATGGAAATACAGAATAACTTAGAGAAATATTTTGAACAATTTTCTGTATTAAAATACTTTAAACATGTATTGCTCAGAGCATTGTATCTTTGTGGTTCTATGCTATCCAACCTTGTAATGTCATTCCTTAAAATGAAAGCTAAGAAGGTATTCCGAAAACTAGTAGTTCCTCTTGTTCTAAAACATAAAAGCTGCTGAGTCATCATTACTTGATAAATATTTACGCTGAATCTGATAAAGTAACATTTTAACTTTTTTTTCCTCAGCTGAAGAAAACATAAAACTTCTGAAGCCAAGTCACTCTGAAATTTGGGAAGCAGCTTTTCTAGCTGAAGTTTGTCTTTGCTGCAGCAGAGCAACCTAAAGCACTTGACTATTACTCACTTAGGGGGACTTTTTCCAGTTAGCAGTTGTTTCACTTTTGTTTTCTTCCTGACAGAACTCAATCTCCCTTCTGAACGTCCATTGTAAAAGAAACTGAGTAACAGACTGTGAAACTGCTTAGAAGATAGAAAATATCTACAAAAACACAGAAAATATCTACAAAAGGACTGTTCTATCACTGGATGCATTTCTTGTCTCGTTAATTTACTGGGGGTCTGCCCATTACATTCTTTCCCTGGCCAACCAATAAGAAAACACACAGATACTTAAAAAGGAAGTGTCTCTTCATAGAATCATTTCTAATTTTAATATGTTAGTTTCTATTTGATAAAGTAGATGTTCCTAACAGCATGTAGAAATGTTTAAAAATATTGTTAACTGTGCAGTACACCTGAGCTTGCACTTGAACAACCTTGCACAAAAAGAAGAAATTAACATTGCTTTGGAACGCAAGTTTTCTAATTCTAGTAACTTTTTCTAAATTTAAACATGAACAATATTTAAACACAACAGAAATTATCTCATTTTCATTTCTGTTTTAGCCATGCTCAGTTCTTAAATTCTAATCCTGCAGTCTCAAACACACCCTTAAATAACCTGCTGGACTCCTCAGTGGGTTAAGGTGAGCACACACATAAGTTTGAGTATTTGCAGCAGAACATTAGTTTTGACTTAAACTGTCATCACATCTAATGTAGACAAGAAATGCAAGTGTACTTTATGACCACATATGTTGTCATACAAAGACATCTTCTGGATATGACTTTGGTCTATATACTGCATTGAAATACAGTATAGAGAGGAAGCAGACCGGGAATCTCAGTTTAGAAGGGCTTTTGGGTAACCTCCATTTACGGAATTTACATAAAATGTTGTAAAAATTTAGAATTTATGTAATTAAAAATTTATAAAATAACAAAACTAATGTATTTTGAAAAAAAATCTCAAAATTCTACAGAAACTGTGAAGGCTTTTTCCATCTGTAATTACCATCTGAATATTCAACATTTGGCATCAAATGCCTACTGAAAATGAATATTTGAGTCAGTTTTTTTGGACTATGTGGATGCTGTATGCCAGCTTCTAAAGCAACACGAAACTCCTCATTCAGAGTCCAAAAAAATGGAGGAAGACCCTAAGAACGTAGCAGAAGCATTTCCGCACACTGATTTCAGTAGTCAAGTTTGTGCAGAAGTGATTCCACTAGATTCATAGGGCACCTTTTTGAGGCAACAGAAACTTCTCACTTCATAAGCTTTTTGACATTTTCCAGCTCTTCTATAGGCTGCCATTTCTGTTGGATTGTTAATAGCTGTAAGAAATGGAAAATATGAAAGTTAGCAAAATCCCAGTGGGCATTTACTCCACTCCCACATCCCTCAAGTCATACATCAACCTATTGGTGAAGAGTTTCTAGTAGCTTTACATTTTTCTTTCAGAGGTATGCAAAAATAGCAACTGATGACATATATAATAATTTGTTGAACAAAATAGTTTGGATATTACATAGATAATAATGCCAAAGAATTTTATTTTTCCTTATAGTAGATGCTCTACTAAATATTTTTCCTTCAGGCTGCAGTACCTAAATATTCTTAGTCAATTTTGTAGTTCAGGAACAAGGGGAAACAGCCTTCCTCTGTACTCCAAATTTCCACTGTTATCAATGGAATTGAGTAAATGGATGTTGGCAGTGGGAACAGACACAACACAGCAACTAGTAGAGCACCATAAGTTCAGGATCAGACCTAGAATGTAACAGCTGATTCCCTATCATTAGGTAACACAGGGAAGATATAAAGTAATGAACTAAAATTTTGTTTCCACTATTAATTAGATATACATCAGCTTTATGTGTGTTTCCTCATTAATATTTTGCTAGTTCTTACACATTAAAACAAGTTACTCACTGTGTTGGAAATATATGCTATTTATATTGACTATATTGCATGTACAAATTACCTTCTGAGGCCTGGTAGGATCAATATTTTCCCAGGGTTCTGGATTGCCACTCCTGTTAATCCTTTAAAAGAAGATAAAACAAGACAGGTATTATGTTTTAAGGTGTGTTCTTCCGTACATTTTTCTTATATGAGCAGCCTATCATCAGCAGAGTTAAGGAGTTCCCTAAAACACAAGTTTACAGGTTTGGGTGTTCTGGGTAGGAATCAACAATGGCTTGCTTTATGTGCATCTTCCAAAGGATCAACCAAGCCAACACTCTTCATGTATCATGTGTTTTCGTAAGGGAAGCAAGCCGAAAAATCAAAACTGAGTAAGGACACAAAGTAAGGGGACTCTGACAGCCAAAATGCCTATTCCAATCACTTTAAAGTAAATAAATAAACTTCCCAATGTTTGAGGAGTATAGGACTTAATTCCAATTATTAGCCAAGCCACTAGGATACTCTCTTAAGTTATTAATATCAAGTGCTGCTCTTCATATACAAGCTAATAGTCTGATTGCAACGTATCTGCATCTCATCTACCTGATTATTTGAAATTCTTGATAAGAGCATTTAAAACCTGTTACACCTAAAGCAAAGAAAAAATATTAAATCAAAAATTAGGAAATAATTTGGACTACAGTCCAAATGAATTAATTTCTTTGCTATTTACTATCTGCAGATATTTCAGTTGTTACCAGTAGTCTGGAACCTGAACATGGATTTTTTTTTTTTTTGGTGTAAAACATGATGGTCAAATACTTCTGCCGAATACAGAAAGGTTAGGGTGAGCACCAAACAAGAAGTATTTTGCTTACATCACATCAGATTTGCTGAACAGGGAATACATGCTAAAAGAGAACGCCCCAATTGCTGCCACAGACAATATTCCAGCCAGGGGAATGAGCTGAAAGACAAAACGGAGAAAGAGCTGAACTGGTGCCCCGGCTGAGAGCCTCGACTGGGGGAGCAGGGGTTATCCAGCACTCAGGTGGCATTAGCTGTTAGCGTATATTACACCTTTGTATTACTCTTCACACCACCTCACTTCTAACACGGTCCCCCGCTCCCTCCAGTTCCCCGGGAAGGTGCTCGCTATCCAGCGGCAGCCCCCGCGCACCTCCCCGCGCCAGCCGCATCCCTCCCCACGGGCGGGCACCACGGCCCCGGCCTGTGGGAAAACTTACTTCTCTTTTTGTTTTAAGTATCTGGAAGACGCTTCTGTTCATCGTGGCGGCGGCTGCGGACCTGGGACAAGCGGTTGGTGTTGCCGCACCCCGGGGGAGAGGGGCACGACGGTACCGGGTTGCGGGGACGGGCGCTCCCCGCGCTGCACACGCACCGCGTTATATACGCACCGCACCGCGCCCCGGGGCGCGGAGGCGGGACAGGACGGGCCGGGCCGGGCCGGGCCAGGCCAGCAGTGCCACCCCCCGGCCCGCGGCGGTAGGCGCAGGGCAGCGCCCTAAGGAGCTCCCGGCCCCAAAGGGAGCTGCCAGGAGACCGGGATGCCGCGCGTGCTCTTCCCGCCTTCCTCCCGCAACTTCTCTCTCCGTTACTGCAGCACTCAAACTTTTCTTCTCCATTTCTCCTTTGTCTTCTTATCTGTCCTCTCCTCCAGGCAGCTGCCCAAAGAGCAGCATATCCAGGCAAATGCCCAGGTGAGGCCAGGGTCTGCCTCTTCCAGAGCTCAGAGAGGTGCCTATAGCGACCCAAAGAGGACCACAATGTCACCGTGTCACCTTTTGCTGCAGCAAAACCTTAACCCAGGCCCAGGTTCCCATCACTGTGCTGTGTTATGCAGCTCCCATCTCTTCCCAATATCCCTGTCTGAGAAAAACTCCTACCAGGGGCAGGGTGGAGGTGAGTGGTGCCAGCAGATGACTCATCTACATTTCTCCCCTTCTCTCTTGCCCAGTGGAAAGCAGTGAGAGGAAGAAAAGGTTGCCTTTACTGCACACTCTGCTGGCTCCCTGCAGCAAGGAACAGACACGACAGGGCACAAGTAGCTCTGTTGGTGCCTCTAGGGAGCAAGTATGGAAGTTAAGCAGCAGGGTCTTCGAGGCAAAGGACCTGGCAGCATTCTGCTGTCACAACAACTGTCAGGTCTGGCAATTGTAATACAAACCCTCAAACACTGGGAAGCAAAACAGAATTACCTAGAAGGGTTTAACGCTTTTTCTCAGCACTGCTGCTGAGAAACCTTTGGGTGTTTGGGAAGTTCAGAAGCATTGCTAGGTTGTTGCCAGCAATAAAGCAATAAGGATAGTCCTTTCCATAAAATGGTGATCAAAGCCACCCAGCTAAACCCTTTCCTAGGTTACAATGGCTTCTACTACGGCCTTTGGCCCTCAACAATCACCAACTGCCTTAAAACTGCCTTTTGTGATCCATCTCACTATAAACCACACTCAGTGCAGTCCCTACTGTCCCTGTTATAAGAAAGAAATATTTGTTAATGGGTTTATAACTCACGAACCTCAGCTGAAATAAGGAACTATCTTTGAGAGTGGTGTATTTAGTTCACAAATATTTTCATTGGGAAAAAGAAAATATAATAAAAAATAATAAAACCCCTCCTACTCTAGAAAGTTAAAATGCACACTTACACGTAGTACCAATTTCCTTGGATATAACCGTATTTTAGAAGGTGACTTACAAAAATATACTGACAAAGAATGGTTGGGTAAGGAAGAGAATTTTGCACAAATTGTTATAAAGCAAAGTACCTCCTCTAAAGAAATTATTACAGTTTGAACTGATTGCATACTTCTTACCTGCTTACTCAATCCAAATGTTTGTACAGTAAGCAGTAACTGACCTAAATTACTCCTAAAACTCCAGACTTCCAAACCTACAAGGTATTAAGCACTGACAACCTTTTCACTGCCACTATTTTTTGGAATCTGCTTGTAAGAAATAAGCCTGTGAATAGGCACATATAAAACACTTCACATTTTATACAGAATGGGACTTACTTCCTTCTATTTAACATGTGAAAGCTTTTCTACTTTTTAAAAATTCACTGTCCTATGAAGACTTCTCAACAC